CATATTGAGTAGAACAAAAATATAATTATTATGTTATCTAACCTCATTTTTATTGCGAAATAATATCTTATGATGTGCATATAATTTTCATTTCCCTAGGCTTGCGTGCCGTCTCGGTTGGCGGTTTTCTTCCGATGATTTTTAATAACGATCTAATCGTCTTTACGGCTTTAATTAATTGTTGGGACCAGTTGAGGTTCTTAATTGAGTTCTGGAAACAGCTTGAGACCTTTTTATGGATTTCTTTTGTTGAAGGAATTGTCTACATTGTTCGTTGTAATGTATTATCATCTAATGTAACTATTTGACATTTATTTATTTAAAGAGGTTTCTCTTACATCCTCATAAAGTCCGAAATATAATTTAATTTAATTTTATATAGTCAATAGTCAATTAGGCTTCTTGTAGATGACAGAGGAATTATTTATTTGAGATCTGAACGAGGTCTAAATGAACTCAATTTATATTGTAAAAACCAAATCATGGCATCCATGGGAATTTGTAGTTACTCAGTTACAAAATAGAGCCTCATTTCCTAAAACTTGATGTCAATAAAAATAAAAGAAACGGAATAAACTAGGATGTTCCAGGTCCTGAAATAGATTCGTTCGTACGTCCACCGTGACACGAATTTTAATTATATCAACTGTATGTTTAGTAAGCCTATTATTTTTTTTATAAAAGAGGGCTTCAAACGAACATACAAATCGCCTGATAGAAAGCAATCAATGCCTACAATACCAGTATACCACCAATACATACGTTGGTCGAATACGTTGTGGGCTTTTTGGACTAAAGGATTGGAATCAGATCTATCTTAAACTTAATGACACGGCATGGGCTGTAATAATTTTTCGATATAGAGTCTCTTTTCTTACTCTTATATCTTCGTAATTCAGACCAAGAGATTTGTAAGATTGAAAGACAAAGGAAAATGAAATGAGTCATTTTTTTAATTCAAAGAAACAAAAACAGAAATATACCGTTTTAAAAATGAGGATGTGAGAATGATTGCAATTTAATTGGAAAGTTATACTCGTAGAAGATTAAAAGATTTAAAATATATAAGATATCACGTAAATTATCTTTAGGAGATCGATCAACGTTCACAATTTCTCCAAATGAAAGTTTTTATACATATACATAAATCTCGTGTATTGCTACAAAGTATGTAAGTGGTTTTCGCACGAAAGTTTTCAACAGAGTTTGATCGATATAATATGTGACGACCACTGTCTCATCTGGTTCCGAGCATGTTTTCTAACCGGATCTTTAAGAAACTACAAATACTACTGATCCTTATCAACCTTTTAAGGATGATTCTAATACTGCTTAAAGAGTTTGTTGTCAACTCTCAGTTCTGTTTCCAAACAAAACTATTTCTGTAACCTGTTTCTCACCGCTTGCTAGCGCAGTTTTCTGTCTTATACGTTTTCAGTGAGAGCTTTGCTCTTTGAAACAAAGTAATACGTACAGTTACAATCTGTGACAGAATTATTGTAAGCTTTAAATATCATAGGTTTCTGCAAGGACTGAACTAGATAAAATATCTGTTTTGTTACAAGTGCTGGCCCCGCCATTAAGCTCTCCACATACGTTCATATCTAGTGTATAAAGCAAGGACACATACCGGACCGTCCGAAGTGCACAATGAACCACTTGATGAAATATAACGGTTACACACAATACTCAAGTCAACGGCATCGATTCAACCGCGAACCATTCACACGACAACACAATAACAAATCTTATAAGATACAAAACAAAATGTTCACTTAAAGTTTCAACTTTGTGTAAAAATAACAAGGTTTTTGCTTAAAACTGTATACAAAATGTAGGAACAAGACATTCACCTGTCAGAGGCGCGCGCGCACTGGCGGCCAAGCGCGGCAGGCGGCCGGCTACAGAACCCGTTTCGTAGAAAAAAGCGCTCCTTCCCGCCTCCGCCGCCATCATAGCGACCCTTTGCATATTCCCCTGTTCACTATTCATCACTGCACTGGCACGATCCCCTGGAATGTCTCGCAACCTCTCCGGAACAAGCTGCGCTTCTTGCGGCTCGATTCTACGCTCATTCTCAACCGCCACGCTCGTGTTCACCCGCGATTCCTTCAGATCCACTTGATTAGCAACGCCGTTTACTACTGCGTTAGGATTTCTCGGTATCGCAATCGGTATTCTGCCATAAACTGGTTTGTTTGTGTACTTTTGCGAGTTATCTATGGTGGGTGGATTGGCAAAAGCGTTTACTTTCAATATTTCGTTCGCCTGCTGCAGTAATCGCCTCTGTATCGTTTCTATCTCGGTTCTTGACGCTTTCGAGTTCTCGGACAGCTCGGCTATCAATTGATTGACGTTGAATCCAGCCATTTTGTTGGTCATTACTTGCGAGGTCGAGGCTTCAGCGGATTCTCTAACATTATCTTTAGCATTATCTGATCTCTTGGCTTGGACTTTCATGTCTCGATTATCTGGTGGAGTGACCACTATCTTAGGAATGTGATCTTTTGAGTTTGATTCCTTTTTACCGCGCTTCACTTTCTTAACAATTCTGCTTGCCATTACATTGTTAAACACTTATTTGTTTTCACATAAGCGTTTATAAGCACCATTTTGATAGTTAGTAGTTGTATATTAACTTCGATTAACTGGCTGGTTTAATTGGACCTTCAAAGTAAAATGTATTATATAATAAGTTTTTTCTAAGGCTTCCAAATACGTGTACACGTTTAATATGGTTATTCATACAAAACATATAATAGTTTAAGTAAAAAATAACCTAACACTAATAGTTTGTTTAATCTTTCGATGTGTATAATTGCATATTAGAGGTTTCTCTATTCATAAATTAGAAAGAGAAACAATAATTCATAATCCACGGCTTTGAAAATGAAACAGGAATTAAGTGCAATTATGACTGACAAATGTGAGTAATTACATTGCAGGATTTTGTCTGAGAATGACGAATTATCGACAATTAACGTAATTAACACATTAACAGCAGAAAAATTATGTTGTTGCGTATTGTAATTGGAGATATTAAGTAACATGCTAACGAGCCTTTGATGTACCTAGTGTTTATGTATGTTATTATTTGTTACGTAGTATTTATCAGGCACTAGACTCTATCAGCGGCTTGGTCCGAGATATCAGAGTGAAAAATGGCTTAGGTATATTATAATACAACTCATAACCGAGTTGTTTTAAGTGAAAACATTACAATCCATACTTAAACAAATTCGTATTCATAATATAAAGCAATATTTTCCGGCTAATAATTATTAAGTAATCTGTGCTTTCGGGGGATCCAAGTGTTTAGCTTTTATCACGAGTAACAATTAAGTATATTATGTTACCTTATCTCTTTATTATTATCGACCAGTACACTGCTTTATTTAAATCTTTCAAATGGCAAGTCGATGATGTTTACAAGAATCACTAATAAAAAGGAGAATACAAATACTTTTTTGCCTACTTTTATAGATACACTAGGTATTATTGCTAAAGACATTTTTACGTAATATCAGAGCGAGAGAATGCCAATCGGAAGTTATTTCCCAACACATGAAAATCAACGGGGTGCTTTGATTCAATTTGTATCAAATAATTTAATCCGATAAGGTAACATGAGTCCAAATTGACGATAAATCAAATAAGATCTTTGGTCTTTGACTGTGATGCTCAACATGGATAAAATAACTGTTTGTTAAACTTTGCTTTTTAATGGTTGACTTATTATTTGAAGTCTTATTGTGACAATAATTAACAAATAAATATTCCTACATTATCGCTCTAGCCTTTACTTAAAATGTTAATTAACAAATAGGAATTGAGCACGATGCCTTTCAAGATACCTAACCAGTTCAACATATCGCTCCACATCTAAAGAGACAAGTTCATTGTGTCAAAATCTCGTATCTTGAGAGTGTATTACTGTAAATTAAGGTCAATTTCTTAATCTCAAAAAGTAACACCATCTACACTGAAGTACATGTTGTTATAACAAGAGATAACAAAAAACTTGATCATCGCTTCAAAGAAATTTTTGTTTGTAATCCAAGTAAGTTTGAGAGCCGTTGTTTCACGACTAAAATGGCATCACCTAATTTTATTTACGACAAGGCAAGAAAATAAACTTGGTCGTATTGTCTTGCGTAGGACTTGGGTTCGCCAAATGCGTTTGCATGTACAACGCTGGCATACTTTCCAGTTTCATAATCTTTTGTTATAGTTACCGATGGGAAATATTCAACTACACTTCCCATGTGTTATAGTGTTTCTATATGTATTGTTCGCACATTTATTTTATGTGGTTATATGGGAATGTAAATTGTGTCACCTACAAGAACATTGTCAGTTCTGGGAAGTAGATGTAAATCGCCTTTGCTCTTGCAATTTTATAATGTACTAGCTAGCTTTGCCCGTGACTCCGTTTGCGTGGAAAAGTGACTTCCTGTAGATTTTTGGTATAAAAACTATCCCATATCCTTTTTAGAGTTCAGCAATTTCACAGAAATCGGTTCAGTAGTTTAGGCGTGAAGAAAAGACAGACAGACAGACTGTTACTTTTGCATTTATAATATTAGTTTGGATTTGGATTGGGCTCGATGTTCAGAAGTGGATATCTTGTGGCTGATATCATCAGGATTATCAAATTGTGATAATTATTGCTTAGGTTTAGATAATGCAATATTCATAATTTTGTATGAGAATGTAGTACATTTATTAATTTAAGTCATTAATAACTTTAACATTGAGATATAGTCCATATTAGTTAATGTCAGACTAACCGTTTCATTCAAATTAAGCACGAGGCTTTCAAATAAACTTCAACCAGCCCTTCGCTCTGTCACGTCATGCAACGTAAAGTGAATAAGCATTTTCATTTCTCACAGTACAGCTATTAGCATTTCTAAGCAGGTACCTCTCGACACACGACATACATGTTTTAATATTTCAATAGCCACAGTGATAACCCATTAGCATATAGTGTCAGTGATATGCAAATCATCATCTACAGCAACTTTGAACTTTACAACAATGCCATAGAGACTATGAGTGACGTGAACACCATCTGCAGACAGGTCTGTAACTAATAATGCTGTCGTAACATCATCTAAAGTATTGTTATCACTTGCAGAATCAGTTTTGTTCTATGATTTATCGAATTTTGTATCTAGATTCAGATTAATTTGATATATTTTTATTTCGGTCTAAACAATAGCCTCTTTATCAAGTTATCATTTTGTAAATGGAAAATTGCCAACACTAATAGTAGGTATGCTGTTTTAAATTTCGTTCGAATAGTGAAGCATAGACGATAGAGGCTTGCTCAATATCTTTGAGAATAATTTGATAATTCAAGTAATTTTATTGAATGTAACAAGCAGGAAAACCTCCTTTGTAACGCAATGCACCATACTAAAGGAATGTTGCATTGGAAATTCCAAAAATGTCGTTTTTTAAAACAATTCACTAAACATGAGTCATATCGAAAAGCTTGCAGGCAGGCAGTCTACCATTAAAAGCATGTACGCCCATGGACGTTTATACATAAAAGGTATACTTTTATGTCTGTCTGTGACTCAGAGGTTATAGCAGCTTTCTCTGCAGTACATATTTGAAGTAAACTTGTCATTTTATGGACATACGTTACGAGGGCTCTTAATGTTATTACGTAAGGCTTTATTAACCAATGAAGATATCACTACAGAAATGTGAATGAAATATTTGAAAAGACTTTAATTGAACGTAAGGGAAACCATGTGGTGTTGCTATGAATAGCATTCCAATTTGGTTTGGATACTGTTATTGTACAAACTATGGACACTGTAAATGTTTTAGACCTAGAAGAAACTGATTGATGATTACAATCAATGAAGGGACTATAATAATGATGTCGAGGGTCAATCGCAATAAGGTACCGCGACCTCGGCCTGGAGCAGAAGACGGAACGGGGGTGTTTTAGTCAGTAAGAGTCTGACACTACTCACTTCATCCTTGTCGAGAGAAGTTATTTGATGATCTCAAAAAAAGGGACTTTAATAAGGGTCATAAATCTCGAAGTTTTGAGCTAGAATTTGAATTATAACCTGAATTGAAACACTACTTAGCTAAGTAAATCCGTCATGATGGGTTTACTGTTCCCCGCCCACGTACTCCAAGCTAGATTACTAAGACCTTAAGCTCAGACGTCTGGTTACAACGTCATAACTTTATATTAGTAAAGCGGATAGCTGTCTTTGGCGCATTGCCACTAGTCTTGACATGTCTAAGTATGGAGTTAGTTCCAACTTTTCTATGGATGCAGGATGTCCCGATTTGTAGGGCTTAACAGATTGCTTGTTGCGTCCCCGTATCCGTGACGGTATGTTATTTTTATATCACTCATCTATGTTGCTGTATTAGACTGTACTAAGTGGATCTTGCTCCATCGTCTTTTGGACTAAATTGATAGACTTTTTATGAAACTTATAATAACATAGTTCTGGTTCTTAAGGCGATCCTTAAAAGGGATTCAATGGTAGTACTTCAGTTGAAATACATTGAAATTAGTTTTACATTGACATTAGTTCAAATGTATATGTAACTGCTCTAGGCCGAGGCGACGGTACCTTGTTGCGCTGGCGCTGATACCCAGGCTAAATCTAACAGTAGAATCTGAAGGCAATATATAAGTAACTAGCTTTTGCCCGCGACTCCGTTTGCGTGGAATAGTGAATTTCTGCAGATTATTCTCGAGTTCCAAACTATGTCTGTATCAAATTTTACAAAAATCGTTTCTGTAGTTTAGGCATGAAGAAAAGACAGACAGGCAGAGTTAATTTTGCATTTATAATATTAGTTTGGATATAAGTACTTAAGATTTTAATAATAAAGACTTCATCTCGAAATTCAATCCGCTTTTACAACATTATTACCCAACAAGGCATTAAATAAAGCTCAAGCTGCCATCCGTGCTAAATGTCCGAAATAATTATTTACTCAGTCCGTCGTTAACTACACTATTGTTATCCATTTGCTAGTTAACTTCTATGATTCACTGCATTTGCAATTTAAATGCAACACCTACTTATATTTAGGGAGATTTATTTCAAAGCCTGATTGATGTTAAGTAGACAATTAGTTTTGAACTGGTAAATGCTCTGAACCATAGTTCAGTTGTTGTCAGAATTTTAATTTAACTCATAAGTGGTGATTTGGAAGAAGGGAGTTAAAGTAATATTTCGTTTGCCTTAATTTAAATATCTGTAGGACTTAAGATATACTATCATGGGAGCAGCAGGGGTAAACAAAGGTAGGTCCTCGCCAGTTCAGAAAAAGTCCCGAGCATATGGCGAATCGCCTTCCGCGCGCGCCTCACAGAGCTATCAGACCACCACAGATGGAGTTAATATGGATAATGATGACGGGCCTGGAGCAGGAGAAGGAACAGGGTGGGTTTTTGGTCAGTAAGAGTCTTTTAATTCCCCTCGCTTTACCCAGACCGAGAAGGGTAATTTGATGACATTCTTTCTCTCTCAAAAATATGTATGATAGTGATGCATAAAACACAATTAATGCAGTCTGTCATATTTTAGTGTGTTTAACTTGATTTTCGTATCTAAGAACATCTTTAGGATGGTCAGAGATTACCATAGCACTCTTGTCTAATTGCACCTTCACGGCACTTAATCTGTACGGTACCAGCGTATCTATACTATTGTATAGTTGACTAATTAACTCTTCTAACTGGACTATTGTTAGTGGGCATTCAAGTGTGGTTCCTCCCCCTCCTCCTCTTAACCTATTGTGTGGTCACTCAGTAGAAACGTTTTGGCGAAAAATGCCCGTATAGTTACTTATCATTGTTTTCAACGCTTTCTCTGTTTTAAATAATTGTAGGGTTTGAAAGGTATGTGTATATTTTAAGCTAGTAGTGGATAAATAGAAATTCGAGGAAATAAATTATAATTAATTGTTATATTCTCGATACAGATGAGAGAAAGCAAATATAACGACGGACTTTGAAACCTACTGAAGCTTTGATTACTTGCAAAAAATGTATAGAAAATGAAGCAGGGAACAATGCCACCTGTATATAAGCCTCAATATCTCCATTGCTGATCAGATCCCTATCCTAATATTTTTTTTTATTTATGCCACTAATAATCATTGGTAGCTCATGGAGTAAGAACCAAGAGCACCTTCCATCTCATTGCTCCAACACACAAATACGTAACGTACAAAAAACTATTGAAATACCAACTTTATAGTACGTGATTAAAGTAAACTAAGGGCTTGCTTCTTAATATCTGGATAGGTACTATATACCAGATACATTTAAATATAGAACGCATTTCTAAAATGGTTTTTTTTTTGTCCCACACAAGGATTTTTTCCGGTGTCGTAAGTACTTTAACAAAACATACAAATGCACAAACACATTACACTCAGACTCGAAACAACAATTTGTAGATTACACAAAGAGTTGTTCCATGCTGGAATCGAACGCACGACACGTAGCATGGCAGCCGGCAACCCTTAAGAGTAGTTGGTGGAAATAATTTGATAATGAATTTTACGTTTACAATGCAGACTTCCAGACTAATGTTATAAATTCGAAAGTAACTCTGTATGTCTGTCTGTCTTTTCTTCATGTGAACCTAAACTACTGAACCGATTTCTGTGAAATTTGGCACAGACGCAGTTTGGAACTCGAGAAAGGACATTACGGTTTTTAACCGACTTCCAAAAAGGAGGAGGTTCTCAATTCGACCGTATATATGCTTTTTTTATACCAAAAATCTGCAGGAAGTAACTATTCCACGCGAACGAAGTCGTGGGCAAAAGGTAATAAAAAATAATATCTTTGACAGTTTGTTTGCTTGATAAATATTTAACTTATTATTTGTTTAGTATTGTGCAACATCTTATTGTAATAAACGTTAGCAGTTACTATAACTGTTACGAGATCTCCGAGATAAATGCCAATCACTTTGTTTAATGTTAAGGCTTTAACCGTCGCGTCGCTACCCATTATAAATTATTTAACCAACTTTCAAAAGATAACGAGGTATAAAAAGATGGTTTATCTAACAGTAAACTGATTAGATATTGAAAGACTTTTGCCGAAAGTGAAGAAAAAAATTTGTTCACAGTTATTTAGTTAAATTAATTTAAAAATCACTTTGGTAGGAACACAAGGAACCGTATTTGTCACAGACACTTTATAGAACAACTTTAGAAGAAATAGGTTATATCACTACATAAAAACTAGAATAAAAAAGTCGCTTTCTCAGTCCCTATATACCTATGTAGGTTCGCATTAATGTTTAAAACTGCGGATGAAAACCCCATCAAGATCGATGCGGTTTTTAATAGATACGAGTGAATGTAGAGGAAGCTTTGTATGTATTCATTACATACATTACATTACATCTATGAATTTGTTGAGAAATTTAGAATCAGCATTACACCCGAGTGAAGCCAGGGCGGGTCGCTAGTACACACAATTATATATATTATAAGTCTCGATTCCTTGAACACAATAAATAACTTCTTGCTACATTAACTTGACACATCCGGTTTAAATCCACATATAAATAAAAGTTAATATTCTAAACTATTTGATGAACATGTTAAAATTTAACAGACCGAGAAAATTCACACGTTTGATTTGAATTGGAAGGCTCACGCAATAAAATATCGCAAGAAACGATTTGACCAAACAAAACGCAATGTTTTGTTTGCTCTACTGAGTAGAACGAAGGAACGGTATCTAGGTACATGTGTGGACGCTTAATTGTCTATTTGAATATCATTTGTTTAAGTAAATCTTGTAAAATTGTAAGAAAATGTAGGAAGCCTTAGAAAAATATTGGTTCTTGTTTGCAATAGGATGTTTAGATTTGGGCCCACGTTGGATTTAAATTTGGAATCGTATTTTTTCGTGTAGTAATCCACAAATTTCAAAATTGGAATTCAATTTAAAATTTTGAATATTTAGTATTTTTTTTAATTAAATATTTTATTTTTCGTAAGAAGGTCCAATGGTATGAATTTTATATTTGGATTTCGTCTTATAAACCGAAAAAAAGAACACTAGATCAATTTAAAAAGAAACCGCAGTTATAAACTACACCTTATTATCACTACACAACACAACACAAACACACGTTTCGAAGAAAACTTTATAAAATAAACATTTTCATTAAGTTCGCGGGTTCGGTAGAGCACAGAGGAGCGCAAGCGCACGAAATATACTGAACGCGTTGCGGTCGCCACTTGCGTACATTGGGGGATCGAGATTCGCTTTCGTAGTCTCAAGTGACGTAGACTCAAGAAAAATATAGATCGGACTTTATGTACGAACATTAATACCTTCTTGTACAAATATTTATAATGTATGTGTGTTGTAGAGGCTTTTAAACGTGCTAATTAAGTTTGATGGATTGACGAGTACATTTTGTAATTTTTGCTATTGACATTATAAAAGTGGGTGTAGGACATTAATTGTAACGTAGGAGGCACTACCGTATTTTGGTTCTATTTTTTTTTGCGTTTGTACTTATTTGAATTGTTGTTATTTGTACGTAGGCAATATTTGAATTTTAGTTAGCTACAAAACTAAATAAACCATTTGATAATAATATCAATAGAGATTTTTTATTTGACTTCAAAAACCGTTTTTAATAATGTCATAAATCCCTGATTAGCATTTTGATCTAATTTAAATTACACATCAGTAAAGCCACGTGTAATTTTACGACCTCATAAATTAAATGGCGACTATAACATAAAATCGTTTTTATTTCACACATTATTATTTATTTTAATTCGTTGTATTGAAAATCAATTTATTTGCATTGAATAGCAGCGCAATTAATCATAAGAAAGCCGTACAATGGAATGGCATACAATTTCTTTTTAATTTATTTCTTGTCAGCCAGTTATGTACATAGGAATGATTCGAGAAAATCATCTTGCAATGTCACCGCGGCCATATTGGAAAATGAATTGAAAGCGGTTGTAACCAGTTTGGCGTAAACGTTTTAACTTCTTAGTTGTGAAGGTATCCCGTTGGGTGTACTTAATTTGATGGATGTTATTCAATAGCGTAAATAGTAATTTATTGATAAAGTCTAAAGAAATGCATTCATCAGAAAATTTATAATAAATCAGAAGGACTGAGTCAGTAATCAAGTAATGAGTAAAGAGGTCGTATAGGAGCATATTTGTTCGAGATAATGGTTGGGTAGTTTCCGAGGTTAAAAATAAATTAATTCGACATTTCACTGCAATAAAAAAAATAAAGATATTGATACAAAAGCAATAAAGATATTGAGTATTGAGTATTGAGTATAAAATATACTTTTATTCATCGATCGATCGATACACTGAATTTTAGATTTTTTTTACCTAATTTTTAAGAAATAAGTAACGTATTTGACGCAGAAACACTATGACGTCATAACTCATATTTAAAAGTATCATTTTTGACATTTCGATAAAAGTATTGAATTTGACTAGTTGGAAACTACCTTATTTCTTAATAATTTTAAATATGGAAGAAAGAAAAAATATAGTATATCCACACTCTTCGCGTTTCAACGGCATCTTATTATGAAATAACTAAAATGTATAATTTCTTGTAGCTATTTCTCGCTTACACAAGTTGTTTTATAGTCGTTGTTGCAAATTTTCTTCTAGTTACCATTTATTCTAACAGCACTACATTTCCAAGGATAAGTATTGATTATTTTACATCAAATTAGTTCTGAGCTAGGTTCTAGTTAGGCGACAATCCGTTACAACAAGTGTTAGTTGGTGTTAATTAAACGCCTGCTTTCGGTTATCTTTTAACTCCTGTTAGTGATAAGGTGGTATTAGATAATGGTTCAAACGTTGCGGTGTCGGTTGAACAGGTTTGGAGTGATAAATTTTATATAGAAATACTAGTTAAGTATAATAAAGTAGAATAAGTTTCATTAGTTTAAAGCTAAGATTGACACAGAAAATAGTTTTTTAATCATTTCTCCAGGTCGTTGGCGCGTTTATAAACATACAAATTAATATTTAAAACCCACTCAGACCCGAAACAACAGTTTGAGATTTATCTAATGATATATTATGATTTAGATTACACAAAGTGTTGTTCCGTGCGGGAATCGAACCCGCGATACGTCGCACAACGACCAGTTGTCCAGGCACTATGTCAACCGCGGCGTCAATGTAGTTAGTATGTTTTATACCTGTTAAGTGTTATCTAATATATAACTATTCAAGACGTAAATTAAACTTTTATTTATAAATTGTAAGTATCGTAATTATTTTTACCAGTAAAAAATCTTCAAAAAGTACCTACATAAAGCCTATTCTAAACATTCGTTAGTTCTACGTTACAATGGTGCGCTACCGAGGGTCATGCATGGCTGCTCCATCTAATGTGCTATGGTCTACCGCCGGCCATGGTCCAAGACGATAGGGGAAAAAAGCTTAGGCTGATGAACCTGAGGTATATGGGAATCCATGGTGGATGCTACAGGGAAATTGTACGTTGTTAACCCAGGAAGTAATTGTATGGTGATCTGAGTGTTCCGTTTGTGATTTTAATTGTATGTATTGTATGAAGGGATTTGTATTAGATAGCCTTATTTTTAGTTATAATATGTTTTCTGTAAAAGCAGGCCTGTTTTTTATTTTATTGCAATGAGAGGTCATCATTCATTAATACACATAGTTTTTTTTTTTAATTTAGATTTTGTATGTTGGATTTTTAACAAAAATATGCTTGTAAATCTTCACAGAAACCCCTCAGGATGGTCTTACCAGACATATAATGTATGTATATTTTTTATATTAGATACTGATAAAAAGTAATCTGGCGATATAAACGCCTCAAAAAGTCCAAAAATATAGTTTTATTGATTGTCAAATATCAAATGTCACATACAGAGCAGTTTGTTTGGTAAAAATTGTGTTCAAACCTTACCTGGAGTGTTACAAATCTTTTTAGACCAGTATGAACTAAGTTCGATCAACGAACAGCCATTTAGTTTTTATATAAAACTATAACTAACTACTATTTATTATTTCAAGGAACATATACGAAATATGTAAGTAAAAAAATGGTGCAATAAGTTCATAAGATGTAGCAGATTATTAAATTTAGGATGGGAACTCCACCTGCTTCCCATCCTGTATGGGAAAGAGCCATAGGCAAGCAATCTTACAATCTACCTTAAGCTCTCTCATTATGAACCTGGTACATGACTTTGCAATCATTAATATGTTGAATGAAATAATTAATTTTATTTTTCTTCCAAAAATACTTTAAAACAAAATACATAGAAACACAAATTGCTTTCGCATTTTAATTGTGAGATCAAGGAGTCAATAATGAACATGTGTGCTCATGTGTGTTAATAAAACAACTCTTTTATTACATTAAGAAGTGAATGACAGAAATGATTTTTGAACATAGCAAACGGTTTTTAAAATTCTTTAAATTCTTTGGTTCACAATATAACTTAGTTTATTATCTTCAAACGTATTCTCTCACCCAAGGTATGGCGTTCTTTCTCCCCTCTTTCCTTCTCCTGCTCCAGGCCGAGGCTGCAGTACCTTATTGCAGAATATAACTTAGCTAAGTGACAATCTATGTCCTAGAGCCTAAGTATTGCTTCATTAGAACATATTGTTGGACAAAGTACAGTAACAAGACTATTGTTAAAGCTATTGTATAGTATAGTAACAAAAAAAGTATTTCCTCATTTTGTACATTCCAGAAATGGCACCAAAACTTTTGTACCGTAACATTAACGATCAGTAATTAGACTCAAACTGAATGATTAGCTCATAAAACGGTATCGAAAAAAAAACTGCTAAGGACTCTATTCATAACATCCCGTTAACTTAGAAGCAAACATCGTTAATTTGGTTTTAAAAGAATTGACAACGAAATACGTGAATTGCAAAAATTCATAGCGTAAGTTCTTTGACTGAGATCACACAGTTAGTGCCTAGCGCCAGTTTGCAAAGTAACTGGCTTCTGTGCAATGTTAATGTGACATCTATGATCGTTTTAACCCCTAGCTAATCTCGCGCGATTTCCCCCGCTGCATGGCACCTTCAAATTTTAGATGATTTTTGATTTGATGAGATTAGTTGTAGCCCTCTTCGATAAATGGACAAAGAAAACACAAAAATATTGGTTCTATTCACACCAGTAGTCCCGGAGATAAGCGCATTCAAAAAAACAAACGTACCTAAAATATTAGTACCTACTTATAGATTAGTGGATCACTCTCAGAAAGCATATTTAAAATCTGATTTGTAACAAAAATAAACACCAAATACCTTTGAAGACCCATGATTAGTGGCAACCACTCTTCGTTTTCACGAAGAGTGATTGCCATTTATTGACATTCAGATGTATCTGTTTAAAATTGAGTTCTTTTAATCAATCCTCAGTTTAAATAGAAACAATTAAGTAGATATAGCTACATATGTATGGTAATAATAACGTGGTGGACCGGATGTTAAGGACCTTAACTTGGCAAGGCACTGTGAGTAACTTATCGTGTTATAATATGTACTTTCATATTTCATTTAGATACTCATGACAAACGATAAAGGATAACACTGTGAGAAACTTAGCCTTCTAATTTTAAATTATAAGTTTGAAACCGTCATTCCGCCTTGAGCACGCGTGGTGGTTAATGCTCAAATCTTCTTCGTGTGACAAGAGGCCTTTGATCAGCAGTGGGCACTGACCATTGGTGATGTGTAGAAACGGAGATACAAAAATATATACCGGCTAGGAAGTAAAAAGTGGTCCAACAGATGGCTATCTATACTAATATTATAAAGAGGTAAAATTTGTAAGTTTGTATGTAGGGGGTAATCTTTGGAATCGCTGGTCGGATTGCCAAAATTCTTTCAGTGATAGGTAGCTACAATGTTCCTGAGTGCTATAGGCTACAAAATATCACGCTACGATCAAATGGAGCCGAGCAGCAGCTGAAACCGCGCGAGAGTAGCTAGTTGAACATATGTACACAAACAGTGGCAGGTTACCCAACCATTATAATCTCAGTAATCAAGTGAGCGTAGTTTTTATTCAGTAATTATTCACGTCACCGGGAAGTGTAGGAAACTATTTCTTCATTATTTCTAGTTTCTTCACAGACCAGTGCATGTTGCGTACCATATAATAATATGTATGAGACATATGTACGTGTAAAACTGATTAAAACAGGTCTGGATTAACTAACGAGTTGACTTTAATTACTAAGACCACTTTAGATAACTCAGTTTTTATTTGGTATTTGATAAAATCAAGTTGGTTAATATTAAAGGAATTATGTAATAATATTAAATTTAATAAATTATCATCGAAAAGTCTTTAAAGACGTTGACCTGCAGTGTTGGTTTTTAATTTTCGGAAACATTTAAACTTTCAAGATTTTGAGACACGTTGCCTGTCGCGTAGGTACTTATTAAAGTTTGTGGATCTTACTGTGAGGCTCTCTTAGAACCTTGACTAGGTGACCAGAAAATCAGTCTTAAACAATGTAAAAATTAGATCTTCTCTAGATTTCGTAATCATAATCATTTATTAATTGTAAAACATAGGTAACAAAGAAATTAGGATCTTAGAAGTTGTTCAAGTTGAAGTTCAAGCTTTTCTTTTGTAAGTTACTTGTTGGTGTCAAAGTAAGAAATGTTAAAAGTTACATTCGACACATTATTATCAATGTTGAAGGCAAGTGAGCAAGTCACAATCTCAACATGCGAGCTATTACTTCATCCACACGTTACGCCACGCCACGCTCGGCGGCGCGTGACGCTCCGCTTACGACGCGCGGCGTAAGAATGCAGGACAAAAACTTCCTATCATCATATAGAGGAGCACGTTATAAGATTTCTTAGTAAAGGATTATTAAATACTCCTTGAGATTATGTATAGTGCTATTACGAATACTTATGGCTTTCAGGTTTTTCAATCTTCACCCCTCACTAGATCGTAGATGCGTTTCAAAACATACAATTTTATATTTCTAACAACAATTTGTATATGACACAAAGAGCTATTCCGTGTGGGAATCGTACGCTCGACACGTTGTAGCTAGGGTTGCCAAGCCACCGCATCCTCCGTGCAGTAAATTTGCTTGGGCAACTATCTCGACTGTATGATGTAGCCTACAGTGAAGCACTCCTATCCATGAGCAACCTACTTACTCAAGCTTTAAGACACCCACGTTATACCTTTCGTGAAATACAGACTCAGGATACTTCACAGACAACTTTTTTTAACTTAAGTTTTGCTAGGTTTAGTGATTACGGGTCACGCAGTATTGTTTTTCTTAAATTGTAATTTTAATCTAGATCACAAATTCGGCTCATCCGGGTTGATTACTGATTCAGAATAGATTCCAACATCAGTCTTCGAGGAAAATCAAACGAGGTGTTGGTTTGTGATTTGTATTCTTCGTGTAGTTTAGCACACTGACTTGTATCTAAGCTTGTTCAAGCAATCAGGTTGTAGTCACTAGTTCAGATATGCATAATTATTTAGTAGGTACATTCAGAAGATTATGGTTACAATCTCGTAGCTATAGTAGCTGACACTAGTTTTTGCTTCTGGTTGTGTCAAGATTTCATGTCCTTCTACGCATACTATTTTTTTTAGGGTAAGCTTTATACTATTTACTTAGACAACTAGCAGGTCTTTGCGTGAAGCACGCACGCCTCGTGATAAATGATAAACTATTTAATTATTGTGTGATCAAACTTCACATGCTCTAGTAAATATGCCGAATTACTTAAACGTTTTACTTTTGTCAAGTAAACTTTGTGTGCTTTTACTTTAAGCTGTTGTGAGTTGTGTACCTTACTTAAACATTATTTTATGTATTTTATACCCAATTTTGTACCACATTTAATGCAAATAAATCAATTATCATTATTATAAAAGCCTAAACATTTAGTTTGGGTACGTGAAAACGATTTTGAGTCATAAAATTACATCAAAAACTGTCATTGAGTTTTATATACTATGTAAATAGCTGAATCAAAATACCTCCATCGTATTTTAATTAGGAACAAACCAACAAACACTGTTCTTAATACACATTATATTGCGATTAGAATTTTACAAGCAACGCGCATTTCTATATTTGGAATAGATTTATTGCACTAGATACTAAATGGAATACAAGGCATAACTAGTGAAATGTGACTGTTATTTGCAAATGTAGCCTAGTCTGGCTTAGGTTAGGTCTTGGAGAAATACCTATTCCTATTCCGGACCTATGTTCCAGTGTAATCAGGGCAGTCTGGTATGGACGAAACTGGTGGCAACTGTACACGGTGAAGTCGCGAGAAATCACTGTATCTGCGCATTATCTGGAACGTGCGAGCTTGTTAACTAGTCTTTACCGGTATTGCGCTGTGGTTCTCAAAGCTTTTGATTCTTTGTCCCTAAAAGATGTGAAATAAAGATGACGTCACAAATCTTACATCGCGCAAGACAGACGACAAGTTGGATAGAAAATCCCAACATACAACTGAAGGAAGGATCACCTCACTTGGTCGAAGGATCCTCCTTTTGATCTTCAAGAACACATGCACACATATTCGCACATATCTATATTAATGTGTTTGAATTTTTAATGTACTTAGGTAGACTGAGGTTTACAACATTATTTTTTATTTGTTCTTTTGTTATTTAAAGGATAAGGTCCATAGTAAATGTAGCTCGTTCAAAGATTTTGCTGTAGACTTTATAACATGATAAGTCTTGTAACGAATGCTTAAATTAAAAATAAAATTTTACTATGTAGATGCTTGAGAACCGCTGACCAAACTGATAGAGACATGACACTTTATGAACCTCCTGTATGTAGCGTAATATCTGTTTGTTAAGTTTTTTATACGAAACGAAACTAGAACGAGCAAAGAAATGTATAATGTATGGAGCAGTTTTTGTGACGACTTTAGAAGTCTAGAAACTAGATTGATAGGGATATGCTAATGGTGGAGATAACAAGACATATATCCAGTTCTTGATACATGTTTCTGCGATGAAGAAATATCACTCTACTGGTTTTTACTTT